AAGTTGTATCCAAGATGGCCGACTTCTAAATGGCCACCATGGTCACCACCCATCTTGATGAGTTTACCCCCTCACATATACTAATGTGCCACAAACAGGACTTTAATATCACCAACCATTCCCATGTTATTACGGTGTATCCATATAAATGGCCCACCCTGTATTTTGTATCTTAACTTATTTTACTTGTAAGGATCAGTCAACCAATGAGTGCAGCGTTTCCCCTGTGTGACAGCTGACTCATTTGCATGATGAAGTAAAGTTGTCTACAATAATAACTGAAAAATGAAGTAAAAGAATTGAATATGGAAGGAATGCAGAATGAAAATGCATTGAATGAATGGGTATCTCTGCAAATGTATATAAATACAGAAAAACCTTTCATAAATGAAGGCCCTGTATTTATTTATTTATTGTTATTTTTAATTCACTTAATGCTACGTTAATTTATTGAGTCGTTTGATGTGTTCATTTTATTTCTGTTTCGGTCGTCTGTACACCATCGCTTGATCATAGCTTTAACACCTTCTTGTCCTCAAACGGTACACTGTCCCTTGTTTTAATCATGAGCACAAGCCCAGATTCCAACACTTAACCCCCACCCAAACACACACACACAGAGGACACCGGGTTTTTTTGTTTTTTTTTACGTGTACCATACAAAGCGCATGAAAAGGTAGATGTGCTGCGTTTTCCTCAGCTGTGCCAAAGAGGCAAAGACTCCCTCATCATCCTGTTCATTATTTATTCAAAGGTATTTGATGGAATTAATAATGCAAGAGGATAAATTTATAAGCATTAGGTTGTCTGCGTAGCTGTCTGAGTCTATTCTTTCCCGCCACCTTTTCTCTGCTTTCTTTTGCTCTCACTCCCATAAAGAGGACTCCCACCAAGCTTCTAAATGTGCGCTTATATAAACCTCTTTTTCCGCTTTGTCTGAGACTCCCCCACAAATCCCCATCTGACAGTGTTCTCGCTCTTTTATTCCTACTGTCTCATGCCTCTGACTCCCTGTTCATTTTTTTCCATGCTCGTCTTTATTTCTCTCTGTCTACAGTATATGCCTCCCACATGTTTTGTGTACTTTCTCTTTTTTCCTCCATTCCCATATTTCTTTGTTTTCCTGTTCCCCACAACTTTATAGAATTACATTTGCACTTATTACCAGCAACCACCTCCAGTCGATTAGAAACTCATTACATTTTCATTGTTTTTATTGTAGTCAAATGCACTGGGGACACCCTATGGAGGTGGATCAAGTGAGAAATATGTTGCACTCGATGCGTTGATGCTTTGCTTTGTTTACACTTAAACAAATTTATTCCATTCTGTTTTGATTTGATGCATTATACCGGGTGGGGAAAGGGAAAAAAATGAGTCCTACTTGTTTTCTCTGTCTGCAGTATTGCCAGTGGTTTCGGTGGGGCTTTGTTTGTCTACCTGAACCGACTCATTGTCCAGTTCATGAGGAAACAGAAGGTCATCAACAAATTTCTAATGAAAAAGTAAGTATAATCACCTTAATAAAGCAATGGGTGCATACAAAGTACATACCAGAAAGAATATTCACTGCATTTTCTCAAGTGATATAGTAACATCTGATCGGTTTTTTTTCTATGCAAAGCAGAAAGCATGGTGCATTGTTACTTTAAACTTGTGTCAACTGTCAGGATAACATTGTACAATAACCATCAGTTGATTAAATTTTAGTTAATAGTTTTTACAATTGGCCAAAGTAATGCAGAAATAGTGTTTGATAATTGGTTAATACTGTAATTGCTTTGTAGTACTGTGTGGTTGGTTTATTTGAAATTGCAACTTTAATGAAAGTTGCAATTTCATGGCCCTCTGAGAATGAGAATAAATGAATGTGCTCAAAACGACAATAACAATCTCCCGTTCCACCACAAACTTACTAAAGCTGCTTAGCAGAAATCGAGAGTCATCACACCAGCCAGTGTTTTTCCATTCTTCTGTAGTTCAATTTTGGAGAGCCTGTGTGAACTGTAGTCGGTTTCCTGTTCTTAGCTGACCAGAATGCTACCTGGTGTGGTCTTCTGCTTGCGCTAGGCCATCTGCTTCAAAATCCAGCATGTTGTACATCCTTGTTTCTCTGCAAACCTTGGTTGTAAACAGTTGACAGGTGACTTCCTATGAACTCAGAGTTCATCAACAAACCAGAATCACAGAGAGAACTGCTGCTTGGTGGATAATATAAACTCTAGAGATCATTTTGTGGGCAAATCTCACTACTTTAAATGAGTTGCTCAGGTCATTTGGCACCAACATCCATGCCCTTCAAAGTCACTTAAATCACCTTTCTTCCCCATTCTGGTGCTCAATTTAAACTTCAGCAGGTCGTCTTGAGCATGCCTACATACGGAAATGCTGCTATGTGATTATCTCACCCTAAAAAAACAGTCAGAAGTTTATAAATGGGTATTAGGTGCTGATTATAATTAGATTTTTTGTTAATAGTACCTGTCCACTACTGAATTGATAAAATAAAAATAAATAAAATGAGCACATTGTGTAACATTGCATCCAGCGGAGTGTGAATGGTAGCTAGAAAGCACTTAACAGCATAGAAGACAGTGAATAGGTGAATGTGGCATCTTGTACAGAGCACTTTGAGTACTCCTGGAGAGTAGAAAGCGCTATATAAGAATCAGTCCTTTTACTTGTAAAAGCCAAATTCAGATTAGGAATTTTTAGGGTTTGTAATATTAAAGTAAGTTTATGTAGCATCAGATGTCAGACAAAATAGCAGAAATGCTCTTTTTTTTCTTTATTTGGGAGCATTATGATGTACGTGAGCTGTTCTTGATCAGTGTCAAGGAATATTATGGACAAATGAGAGCAGCTTATTTGATTTGTAACTTTATTTTTTCTTTTTTAACCCTGTAAGATCTCAACCATGAAATCATTGCCAGAAAATTCAATTTTTTTTTAAAATGGAGCATTTATTGAACCTTAAATCTTTTTAAAAGAAATTAAATATTAATTTGCACATATTAGTTTTAATTTGAACCATATTTTTACAATTTTAAATTTTAATAAATTGTGCCATTAACCTCCTAGGACCTGGCATCCACATATGTGGACATCGAATTTTGGGTTATTTAGACCAAAATCCTCAATTTTGCACTACAAGGGCCTGATATCCACTTACGAGGACATTATATTGCTGCTGTTCTATCGAAATTTTAAACGAATGTCCTCATATGCGGCTCTCAGTTTTCTTAGAAACAAAAATCAGGTTAAAAAAAAAATCTGGTAATTCTTTGTTTTTACATTAATCGGGTCCCAATCAGCCCAAATATCAAAGAGAAATTAAAAAGGCATGCCGTGGAAGAGTTCGGGTCTTAGGAGGTTAATTTCGCTTCTTTCAGGGGGCAAAAAATCTCACTATATAAAAGTGTCAAAAACTCATGTATCGAAGATGATACACGATTGGATTAAAAGGGTTAACGAAATCCTACAAAAGACCTAGAAGATTTACTCTTTCACATGACACTGAAAGCTGAACAGAGACCTGCTCAGTAGCCGCAATAAAATCTGTTCCCCCGACAGGATGCTGTAAAACAAAAGGTTAAACATCGTTGGACATTTGTACAAATATTGGGATAAATAGCGTTAATTGAGTTGTCTGAAGCGGTGCTAACAGGAATGTCGACATGTACTCACAAATGTGCAGACTTTATATAATCAAAGAAAACACAGCTTTATCACCAAGCCTATTTAAGTGTCACACATCGATTGTGCCTGCTTTTTGAAATCTCTTTTACTGTTTCTCTCGTTGTCTTTCTTCCTCTTCTAGACGTCTGCTGTATCCAGCACTGGTCACTTTAGTCCTTTCTACCCTCACATTTCCTCCTGGCTTTGGACAGTTTATGGCTGGAAAAGTACGTTCCCCAATTTCATTCAACATATATTATTTTTATTACATATACTCAACACCCTGCAACTATTACAGTGGATGTAAAAGAAAGCCTGGGGCATTATGGACCATTATGGTATGATATTGTATTATATTTAAAATTTATGTTATGTGTCCACTGCATTTTTTGTGTCGTAATTTATGTGCAGTAAGTGTCACTGTGCAGGCCCTGAGTGCATTCAGATGTATCCATCTAACCACGATTTTCATGTCTCACTGTGTTTGTGAGCCAACTTAGATCATTAAATAACAACTTTATTACCATTCATGTCAGGGTGTAGTTGTTTTTTAATGTGTGCAGCGCAGGTTCAGATGTGTTTGTGTGTCACCTGTGTACCCTGGAGGATTGGATGAGCATACTGTCTTTTTGCTCCTGCGATGACTCACAAGTGTGTGCTTGTGGCTTCTCTCCAATATCACTCACTTCATCTGTCTTAATTATCAGTATTAGAAAGGGAATAGCCTCTGCATCAGAGGATGTTGCACACACACCGACAGTACACACACATGCGCTGTCGCTTGGTCTTGGCCGCTAATGAGACAGTGAGTCAGGCCTGTATGGCTCTAAATCTGCCCACACTGGCCCACTCCTCTTTGGAGCGCACACTCAAAATTGTGTATCTTAGTCTTACTCACAACCTCTTCATTGGTGAGCTTTGTGGATGTGGGCAGCGTTATCCCCACCAGTGTGCACCGTCAGTTTTAAAAAGCTGCAGCTCACTTTGTGCTCTTATACTCAATGCCTGCAATACTGAAAAAGTTGGAATACTTTGCAAAATGGAGAGCTCTCCAGATTCTCTAAATCTTTTGATTTTATGTGCCACTGATCAATACTTTATGAAACCATAAATGGACTTTTTCACTTTTAAGTCTTATTCACCCAGAGACCCACATATTCCTAAGGTGCTATTATCTATAGCTAAGCACCTTCACACTTCACCATCTCACCCAAGGATGCATCAGCATCCTTTTGCTGACTCCTGAACCTCTGCCCATCTTCACTTCAGAGAAACGCTGCCTATCTCAGATGCTCTTTTTATATCCAGTCATGTTGCTGACCTGTTGCCAAGTAACCTCATTAATTGCACAATTTTCCTCCAGCTGTTTCTTTTTAATGCCTCTTAAAAAGAGGTATTAAGAAGAGAAATGGGTAATGATTTTGATTTTAGCACAAAATTCTAGGCGCATGTGACCAAAGTTTTCTCTTTCATTATCACTTTTTAGATAATGATTTATTTAATTTATTTAGATTTATGCAAAATGCAAAGAACAAAAAAAAAAAAAGGTGATAGTGCAACTCAGAGAAATCATGGCAAGGGTTTTTTACTGACCTAGTGATTGTTTATGTGCATTGTATCTGTGAGTGTCTGTGACCATCCTCCAACTTGGCCTGTTTTTCTTTTTTTCCCCCCTTATAAGTTTTTAAATGAATCTTAATCTGCATAAAGCATGTTGATTGGTTTACAGCTGACTCAGAAAGAGGCTTTGGTGACATTACTGGACAACCGAACCTGGGCCAAACAGGGCATTGCCGAGGAGTTCGACTACATTGGAAATGCACAAGCCTGGAGGCACCCGCAAGTCAACGTCTTTGTCACGCTGGTCCTCTTCATCGTAATGAAGGTAGGAAGAGCAAAAAGTTATAAAAAAGACTGTGCTGAAAATGTTTTCAGTTGTTTGCAATTTTTTAATGTGAAAACTAAATTTATCACAGTTGTTAGACTCTGTTGGCTCTTTCTGGTTGCTTCCCTTCCTTTGCTGGACTCTTTAGTTTCTCTCTGAATTGAAGCATGTATGCTGGCATAGTGAGTAAATCCCATACATGCATGACAGGATGTACTGCATTATAAATCCAAGGAGTGTTCACCCTTTTATTTAACACTAGAGCTGAGGTAATAGGCCAAATAGAACAGATCACATCTCTTCTTCTCACTGGTGAAGAACAAAGGGAGACCATGTTAAATTAAAAAAATGTTAGAAAGTTGTCTGTCTTCCCCCTCAGTGTGTTATAGTTGTTTTCCCAGGAGGCCATTAAAAGTTTTGTGTCACTTTGATGCTGTATCAGTGAGCGAAAGGACTGATTGAAGAGGATTCAGCAGTCGGCTACAAGAATAAAGTCACATCCCTATGTCTTCTGACTTTATGTAGAAGACATAAAGATGGAGAGATTCCAAAAACTAAAGCTAAACTGTGGCTATAAATAGAACTTCTCATCCTATAGATGTAAGAAATTGACCCTCAGCTTCAGTAAACACTTTCCTGGTGAGTTCAGGAAATGGGCCTTATTGCCGTCCTCTGTGATTTGTTAATTATTCCACTTGCAACTGGTGCCCTTCTGTTGATACATGTAGAAAACACAGAATGGTATTTAACTGAACCTACAGCTCAGACCATTTTGACGATCCCTGGTCCAGCTCTTTGAGTCAGGGTGGAACCGATGTCCATATGTCTGTTCGGTACATTCGGTGCTCTCCGGGTTTGCCGTTGTTCTAGCACATCCACTGTTCTGGATTGTCCCATAGATTTAATTTTAAGTGACTCATGTTGCAGCAGAGAGGTGTGGAAAAAATGCAACATCCATCTCTAGGAAAAAAAAAGGTTTTACTGAGATGACATATGTAGACAAAGTACCAGTTCTTGGACTTGGCTCAACTCCTAAGTTTGAGAGAGGGCCGAGTGTGGTGGAATGAAGGCTCTGCACTTCTGGCCTCTATGGACTCAAGAAGCTGAACAGTTAGTGTGTATTCATTTATCTCCTTTACCGCCCATTCTCCTGTTTTTTTTCTAGTGCTCAGTAACAAGAAAAAACAGAAATGAGTTTGGTCGTTCTGTGCTCCACCATCCTGCCTGTTTAAGAACACAAGGCTGCTTGTCTGGCTTTTTATGTAACCTCTACTTATTGGGCTGCACTGCTCGGCTGAAATGAAATGTCCTTTTCCAATACAAAAATACTGAGTGTGTTGTGGGCTTCATACAGCAAGTAGACTTCACACAGAAGTAGGAGTGGGTGCCAAGTAGAGTGGAGTTGAGTAATGTGTAGGGGAGTATATGAGAGGGTGCCTGCGGGGGGGATTTGGGGGGAGTTTTTTTAAATGTAGCTTTTTAAATCTGGATAGCTGTTACTGTACATGACATGAGTCTATTCACAGCAAAGCTACACAGCTGTGCAATCCACTGGGGAGGTCAATAATAACACACAATATTAAAAAAGAAACAGAAAGTTGCCTTCCTAAACAACAGAAACAAAAAGCACCCCGAACATCAGGGAAGTACTGAGGAGCAGTGTTGGTCAAGTTATTTGAAAAAAGTAATCAGTAACTAATTACTGATTACTTCCCCCAAAAAGTAATCCCGT